AAAAAATAATATTCATACCTACATGTGGAAAAACATTTTTCATTCAAAGTTACTTTCCATGAAACCTGAATAGAATTTAATTTACACAATTCTTTAAATACACCTGTCATATGAACTTGTGTTCAATTATATTATATTTACTTTCTTATTTCACTTAATAAATAATTATTAAGTAACTTCTAAAATAACAAAAAATAATAATCTTCAATAAAATTAAATGCCAAATATTTTACAAATTTATTTTTATTCGGTAAAATATCCTCTAATTATTGTGATTATTATTGATATTGAGAAAATTAAGGTTGATTTGAACATTTTTGGGTATTGAATTCATTGAGTTGAAGCTTTATCCTGAAACTGTACGTTTGGGAGACTCAAAATTTTCCGCGAAAATTGGCATCATCGATACATCATACATCGATTTGCAACTTTTATCATGATTCGATTTAGAGTCAACAAAAAAATCTCGATAAGTACCTTTTCTTATATTTTCTGTCATCTTGTTGTATACAAAAATTTGATGTGCATTTGTGTACAAAGTCAGTGTATTATACATGCGTCTGTTTATATTTACAATTGGTATTATTGTTATTCAAAGTGAAAACTTACATGATTTTTCAGAAGTATTGACAAACAAATTAATAAAATAAAATCTTTTGACACCAAAAACTCGTCTCGAAATGCAATTACCACAATGCCACTCACATGACAGTGACTTTATCGCAACATTATTTATAAAAATTTCTTCTTGTATGAAAAATTATTACTAAAAACTACCACAACATTAAAAAATGATTGAGAAAATGATAAAAAATTTATTATAAACTATCAAGCAATTTTAAAATATATTTTATTTTAATCACGTAAGTGAGTATACTTGATGATGACAAAGAGATGCTTTTACTGTGAAATGTGTGAAAGCGTCATGACGAACCTATACATGCACGACGCACGTGTGAGATAAAGACTTTGAGAGAGCTGCATCTGTGCACTGCTGAAGTTAGTCGCAAGTCAAATAAACGCGGAAATTCGAATTTGATTCGTATAGTTGTGTAAGAACAGATGTTATATAATTCTGAGCTCTAATAGAAAACTACTGAAATTAATTTCACGATTTTTTTTAAAAGCTTTGGTATGATTAAAATTAATGAGTGATTTTAATACTGATCCCTTTAATTAATTTAATTACTGATGTGGACCCTAATAGTACTTTTTTACACACAAACATTTTTTTTCCTTTTTTTGTGGGGAATTATAAGATGAATGTGTTCTAGTTCATTTGTTTGTTCAATCCGTAATCTTTTTGTAAAAAATTATGAAAGTATTAAAATTAAATTTTTTTTCAACTTTTAACAGTTTATAAGTCTTAATTTATTACTTTGCTTAATTTTTCTACATTTAATACAACTTGTGTTTATAAAGGTTACAGAATTATTTTTTTATTTGAAACATCTCAAGCAAGAGTGGTTTGAAAGAAAGCCTATGCATAATTTGCTAACAAGAATAATTAAATATCTAATATCAAAAAACAAACCACCCAATTATTGCCACCATCTGATGAGTTACTGTATGTGATTTCAAAGATAAATCAAAAAAAATTTTCAAATCCACGAAAATTTTTTTTATTTAAAAAAAAATACAATTTTTAGTACTGGCAAGGGCACGATTAATAATGTATTAAAATAAACTATATACAAATAATTTCGAAATATTATTGTATAATATGAAATGTAGTTGTATTATTTTTATTCTCATAACCTGAAAATTTCTTTAAACCGTTCTACGTAACTATTTTTGAGAACAGACAAACAATTCAAGTGTAAGTTGTGCGTGTAAGTGAAACGTACAATATTCTTTCTATGTAAATGTTTATACTTCAAAAAAGTAAATTTCATGAATTTGTATGAGCAAACATTTTGTAAATGAAAACTTTTAAAACATTTTATTTAGCGAGCGAAATGAATTTTGAACGTTGTTATGACACGGGAGCGCGTGTTATTGTATTATTGTAATTATCGTGATTGTTTGGGTGAACAGTCGATTGCAGGTTTGTGTGCATATGTGCTCTTGTTCATACTACACGTTGTGTATTTGTTGATTTCAATCTTACACGATGTTACTTTTC